GGTAGAGGGCCTGCGTGTGCACACAGGCTGAGTCCAGTCCCGCGTGTGCACAGGTGTGTGTGTGATGAGGGTGGTGCTCGCTGGTAGAGGGCCTGTGTGTGCACACAGGCTGAGTCCAGTCCCGCGTGTGCACAGGTGTGTGTGTGATGAGGGTGGTGCTCGCTGGTAGAGGGCCTGCATGTGCACACAGGCTGAGCTCACTCCCCAGTGTGTGTGCATGGGCACGCGTGTGGGGTGCGAAGGTCGAGTTGCAGCTCTAGTACTATGTTTAAAAAGTGCCTGTTTTTCACTGCATGGCAAACAGCAGGGAAGAACTCGTCTGATGTAACACGGGGATGTTTAGGGTGATGTTCTAGAAACAAGAGGGCCAGGGTGAGCTGGCTGTGTCTCCTTCAGTGCCGGGGCCCAGCCGTGGTGCTGCCTGTGGCTGCCTGGAGGCCCGGAGGACGGCCCAGCCGCAGCCGCAGCCGCAGCCGGCCCTGCCTCCCTGCGTCCCATGCCCCAGGAACGCGCTGCCCTCCTCTCAGCAGACCAGACCCCTCAACCCTCCGGCTTAGCCTCAGGAAGGGGCTTCTTTCCTTTCATCACTTGAGTGGTAGTGCCGTTTGCGCTTTCAGTAACGGAAGAGCTCTGGGGTTGTGATTCTTGTAGCTACCTTTTGTCAAGGGCCATGAGCGGCGCAGCCCGGCAGACAGAGGCTTCTGCTGGAGTTGGAGCTTGCAGACTCTGCCAGCAAGGCTCATGGAACTGCTTGGCGACAGGCCCGGAAGATGTTTGAGGGGGAGAGGGCAAGCCTGGAGGCCCTCCACAGCACAGGCCTGGTGCGGGTGCCACAGCCCAGAACGGTGATCGACCTGCCGGGAGGTGGGGCAGCCTTTGTCATGGAGTATGTGAAGATGAAGAGGTTGGGCAGGTGAGTGTGGGAGAGAGGGACCCCCCCAGGCGCGCACGCGCACGCACACACACACACACACACACACACACACAGCCAGGAAAAAGACAGGGAAACCTGACTGCAGAGACACAGGTGCAAGTGAGAGACCACAGAGAACAGAGACAGAGAGACAGACACACAGAGAAACAGACAGGAGCAGCTTCGGATGCACTGCCTGCATAACTCAGCACAATTACCAGAGTGCGTGCATGTGTGTGTGTGTGTGTGTGTGTGCACGCGCCAGTCCTTGGGCTTGAACTCAGGGCCTGGGTGCTGTCCCTGAGCTTTTTTGCTCAAGTCTAGTGCTCTACCACTTGAGCCACAGCACCACTTCTGTTTTTGTTATTGGAGATAAGAGTCCCAAGGGCTTTCCTGCCCAAGCTAGCTTTCAACTATGATCCTCAGATCTCAGCCTCCAGAACTGTTGAGAATCCAGGTGCAAGCTGCCCTGCCCAGCCCAGCTCTCGAGTTTTTTGCTCAGGGCTGGTGCTCTCACTGGAGCCCAGCCTCTGTTCAATTCTGGTTAACTGAAGACAAGGGTCTCAGGGCCACCCGAGCCTGGAGCATGGCTCAGAGTTCCTGCTAAGTGGAGATAAGGGTGTTTATTTCTGCTGTATGCTTTTTTTTTTTTTTTTTGAGGAAAGAGTAGTTTGGCTGTGATAAGGCTATATTAGACAAATAGATTTGAGCTTATTCCTTGCTTTGTACTTTTGTTGTTGTTGGGGCTTGAACTCTGGGCCTGGGCACTGTCCCTCAGCTCTTCAGCTCAAGACTGCGCTCTACCACTTGAGCCACAGCACCACTTCTGTGTTTTTCTGCTTATGTGGAGCTGAGGACTTGAACCCAGGGCCCCATGCATGCAAGGCAAGCGCTCTACCACTGAGCCACCTTCCCAGTCCTGGGTTGTGTTTTTTTTGGGTCCTGGGGTCAAACCCAGATGCTGCCCTGGCTAAGCAAGCGCTTTGCCCTTGCTTTGTACTTCAGAGTGTACAAAATGCCAGCTCAATTAGGGCGGAACCAGGCTGGTCTATTAACTACAGTCTTAATTTTCTTTTCTAATTATGAGGGTCCTTACATATCCATGTGCAAAATATTGGAAATGCAAGCTCAAGGCTTCCAGTCCCTCATAACTCCACAGGCGAGGGGTGCCGACTACTTGAGTCTTAGCACGTAGCTGTCATTGCAGTATTTCCCCTTTATTTTATATTTGTTCCTGCAGAAGTAGGAGCTAAGGCTTCACTTCACCCACACTTTGAAGCTCTGTGCCTGGCATTTCTTCTGTGCCCGTTGGATGGCTGCTGCTGATCTCATGCCCGGCTCCCTTTCCGGACTTCATGCTACTTTTGCGGGGAAGGATGGGTCATACTTAGCACTCACTTTTTACTTTTGTAGTAGAAAGTAGCTTTTAAAACACTTCAGAATGAGACACACTGGGTGGGACTACCACTTGCTACTTTAACTGTCCTATGTTTGCTATTTTAATTGGCTACATTTCTTCTTTCTTTAGCCAGGCATCAAAACTTGGGGACCAGATAGCAGATTTACACCTTTTTAACCAGAAGCTCAGGGAGAAGCTGCAGCAGAGGGAGAACACCGTGGGTGCGTGCCATCTGCTCCGTCACCCTTTCCATGCCGCTGACTACCTAGAGCGGTGCCCATGGCACCCCACCCTTTTTTCCCTTGTGCTAGTCCTGGGGGCTTGAACTCAGGGTCTGGGCACTGACTCAAGACTAGTGCCCTACCACTGGAACCACAGCTCCACTTCTAGCTTTCTTTGGTGGCTAACTAGAGATAAGAGGCTTACAACTTTCCTGCCAGGCTGGCGTTGGACTGTGATCCTCAGATCACAGCCTCCCTGAGAAGCTGGGATTATGGTCGTGAGCCACGGGTATTGTGGTAATAGGTTGGATTGAATGTCATCACACTTTACCCAGCATTATGAAAAATAGGATTATTAAACAAGAGTTCCTATGAAGCTGGTAAGAATTGGTATGTGGCCCCTTCCATGCCCAGCCTGGCGGTTTGCTCAGCGGACTGCAGAGCCCGAGCAAGTCTGTATGCTGGCTACTCACCCCCATGCGTAATGTGCTCTCCAACTACCCACGTTTTAGCATGTACGGCCAGGCTGACAGGAACCTCTCTGTAGAAAACTGGGAAAGAAAATGAAGACTTCAGAAAAGGACGATCAGCTCCCTGAGGCTAGGACCTCTGTTTACAGGCCACAGAGCTGAGGGTGCTGAGCCCCAATATGTGAGCAAATTCGGCTTCCACACCGTCACCTTCTGTGGCTTCATCCCTCAGGTGAGTGCCTGGGTGAAGACATCCCTACGTAGCTGATGACCCTTCCCGAGGCCCAGGGCTGCTACCTGATCCCTTGTGTGTCCCCAGGCATCAGATCAACCAACTGCCTGACTTGTGAAGGCAGAGGGTAGGCTGTGACATCTGTGTGGAGAGGCTCCCTGGTGGGGCTGGGAGGGGGAGGGAATGGTGGTGTCTGGGGAGTAGTGGTCTAGTACCCCAGTTCCAGTATTTCAGGCAGACAGAACAGTGGTGCAAATGTCGTGTGCTGTTGTGTGAATGTTAGAGGATGGAACAGGCGAGGACAGCTCATCCTCCAGGACCTCTCAAAATATTATTATTCAGTTGTAGGGCTTGAACTCAGGGCCTGGGTGCTGTTCCTGAGCTCTTTATCTCGTGGCTAGTACTTTGAGCCACAGAACTACTGCTGGTTTTGTGGAGGTTTACTGGAAATATGAGTCTCACAGACTTTCCTGCCCAGGCTGGCTTTGAACTGAGATTCTCAGATCTCAGCTTCCTGAGTAGCAAGGATGACAGGTGTGAGCCACCGGCATGTCTTGTCTTCTTTTGTTTTTGACATTGATAATTTGTCTTCTCTCTTTTTCATCTGATCAGTCTGACTAGAAGTTTATCAATTTACTGATCTCATAAAACCAGGTCTTAGCATATTGATTTTCCTTTTTAATTCATTAATATGTTTCACGTGCGTGCTGGTCTTGGGGCTTAAACTCAGGGTCTGGGTACTGTCCTTGAGCTTTTTTGCTCTACCACTTGAGCCACAGCACCACTTCGGCTTTATCTGCTTTGTGGTGCTGAGGAATCGAACCCAGAGCCGCATGCATGCAAGGCAAGCACTCTACCACTGAGCCACCTTCCCAGCCCTTTTTTTTTTTGCATATGAAATACACATCTGCATGCAACTTACTGTTGGTTTTTGCTTTAGCCATCTGTTAATGCCTGTTGTTAGAGTATTTTTGACCATTTTCATTATGAGTGTGTTTATTGATCTATTGGGGTTTGAGTCTGTCACTTTACTATTTATTTGTTTTCTGTTCTTTGTTTCCTTTGCCCTACCTTCTTCTGGATGAAATTTAAAAATTTCATATCAGAGCTTGAACTCAAGAACTTTTGCTCATTTCGTTTTTTTTGTCGGTCGTGGGGCTTGAACTCTGGGCTTGGGCACTGTTGCTCAGCTCTTAGCTCAAGGCGAGCACTCTATCTCTTGAGCTACAGCACCACTTCCGGTTTCCTGGTCGTTTATTGGAGATAGGAGTCTCACGGTCTTTCCTGTCTGGGCTGGCTCAGTTCTCAGCCTCCTGAGTAGCTAGGATTACAGGCACAAGCCACTAGCGCCCGGCTCATTTTGCTTTTTTGCTTTGCTTTTGTCCTCACAGTTGGCACTTTACTACTTGAGCCATGCCTCTAGTCTGGCATTTTTGCTAGGTAATTGGAGATAGAATTATTTTGGATTTTTCTGCCCAGACTGATTTTAGGCTGTCTTGTTCAGATTTCAGCCTCCTGTTGAGTTAGGATTATAAGCATGGGCCACCAGTACCCGGTCTTGGATACACTGATTTATGATTCTAGTTACCTTTTCATTTGACTGATTAGCTATGGTACTTACTATATCCGTTTTTTGTTGTTGTTGTTAGTTGTGGGTCTTGAACTCGGCTTGGGTGCTGTCCCTATGCTTTTCAGCTCGAGGTGAGCGCAGTGCCACTTCTGGTTTTCTGGTGGTTTATTGGAGATAAGTCTCATGGACTTTCCTGCCTGGCTGGTTTTGAACTGTGGTCCTCAGATCTCAGCCTCCTGAGTAGCTAGGATGACAGGTGTGAGCCACCAGCGCACAGCTACTTGCTATATTCCTTTAATGCTTGCTCTGGTGTTTGGGCAGATTCTAGATGTAACTGCCCTGTTGCTCGGAGTTGCAGTACTGGCCTCTTTTGTTTCTCAGGTGAACGACTGGCAGGATGACTGGCCCAGCTTTTTCACGCAGCACCGGCTGCAAGCACAACTGGACCTCATTGAGAAGGACTACGGTGACCGAGAGGCTCGAGAGCTCTGGTCAAGGCTGCAGGTGAGCACAGCCCCCCAAGAGCAGTCAGGGGGGACTGCACCGACGTAGAGGTGGTCAAGCTGGGCGCACATCAGTGGCCTTGGCTCCTGAGGGCGCGTTTCCCGCCCAGGTCTCCAAGCATTCAGCTGAGACTTGCTTTCCTCATGTGCCCGGGTCTCTGGCCACCGAGTGGTGGTCTTCACCACCATTGGTCCCATTATTGGGAGTCCGTGTCCCCCTGTGCCCGGCCGGCCCCAGTCCCTCTTAGGTACTGTGTGGTGAGTGCTTAGGTCTCACGCGGGTCCCGCCACAGAGCTTTCAAAATGACCCTCGGACAGCGCCAGACACGCGGGCCGCGTGTGTCAGTCGGGTGAGCGTGTCAGGGAGGCCGAGCTCCAGGCGCTGCAGACAACAGAAAGCAACCTGGCCTCGGCCTGCGGGGAGCCGCGGCTGCGGGGCTCGGCCTGCGGGGAGCCGCGGCTGCGGGGCTCGGCCTGCGGGGAG